GTGGTTGTTGATAAGTTAACGGGTATGCTGGTTATTTTCTAATACTACAGTAGTTTGGAGGGGTGTGTGCTAACTTTTCAAACCTTAGGAGGTATCATTATCTAAAAAATTGTTGACCGACATTTGGGTGGCATTAATCGAAATTTCACGGGTGTCGGTGCAATTTACCCTATAATTTAATATATAATTAAAATGTCTAATTTGAATTCAAATAATTATTTTTGATAGGTTAGAATAGAATATATATATATATATATATATATATATATATATATATATATTATTTTTTATCATCGACAAGAAATTCACACAGACCTATTTATACACCCACTTTGGGGATGTAGATAAGTGTTACGGGGTTGACAGCCATGGGATGCTGTCAGTGTGCACTGGGGGTGCCCAGTGGCATTTTCGTAAATATGGCGAAAAAGTGAAGCTTGGAGTTGTCTCGGGATCTTTATGGGAGGTGCCTTGAGTCTGTAGAAGATGGTTGGATGCCGTGCACTCTGAGACATTTATATGTGGGTGCAGATTAGTGGGCTTGGCACGGGCTCAGATGTTGCTTAAAGCATGGACCACACAAGTCATGGACGTGTGACATAGTCAAGTCAAGGACATGGGCACAAGGCAGTGGGCGTAGGCAAGGCTCAGCGTGCAAGGTTGGCTCAGAGGACTCAGACATGGCTTATGGTTACAGAAGATGGCTAAGTAGGCTCGGATGGTTGGGGGAAGTTACACTTTCCACTAAATGGGCTCAGTTGGTTGGGGGAAGTTACACTTCCCACTAAGTGGGCTCAGTTGGTTGGGGGAAATTACACTTCCCACTAAGTGGGCTCAGTTGGTTGGGGGAAGTTATTAACACTTCCCACTAGTGTGCATACATTATGGGTAGTGGGGGTGTGCTGAGTAACTTCCCAACTTCCCACTCATATGCATATATTATGGGGAGTGGGGGTGTGCTGAGTAACTTCCCATGCATGTGGCACAGATCTCAGGGGACAACACACAGGTGGTTAGAGTCAGTTTTCTTCCACCATGCTGATATATAGAAGGTGGCAGATAATGTGTAACTTCCTGTGGACAAGTGGCATGAGCAGAACGTGCCAACAAGCTAGTAGTTAGGCTTGCCAACTACATATGTAGTGTTGGCACACTTAGTGGGTGCCAACATGACCCTAGGTGGATGGGGGTGTCATCCACCACTTTAGTGGATAGTTGTGGGTGGATAGGGGTGTCATCCATCACTTTAGTAGGCAGTTGTGGGCGGTTTTGAGAGTTTGCCTATATATTGCTAATGTGGGTTTTGTAGAGAGGAAGATTGAGAGTGAGACACAGAGTTGTGTTGTGAGAGACTCTTGTATGCTTCTGCAGGTTGAAGCCTTTCCTTGTACTGTTTTGTGAATAATAGTAAAGGGTTGGAAGCCTTGTGCTTCTGTAAATTCGTGGGTGTTATTATTTTTACATTCTTGCAACTATACTTATGTGTGAGAGTGTTTTACTTGCTGTGTGTTTTAAGCAGCAAGTGTGAGTTGGCTGAGCTAAGTTAAAAATTCAGAGAAAATTTGTTCATATTTCTGGCTTAGTGCCATCACAAGGCACTAGATTCGTGTTCAGAATTTACCCCTATGACAATTGGTATCAGAGCCCAGAGTTGGGTTCATCATGGCCAGTGGTAATGCTGTAGAAGCTCTCAAAGATCGTGTGACTTGTTTGGAGGCCTTGGTGGGTGTTCCACAATCTGACGATGCTGCTGCCTTAACAGAGAAGATGGAATTGTTTGTATTTGAGTTGCAGACAATACGATCAATGCTTGAAGAGTTTGTGGGGGAGACAAACTCAAGGATGCAGATTATGACGGATGATGTGATGTCCGTGACAGACCTCTTCAAAGATCATGTGAAGGATTTGAAGGGCGAGGTGGTTCTGTTGAAGAGGGCCATGCATAATCAGACTGTTGTGGGAGAGAAGCCATCATTTGCCAAAATCAAAATTCCAGAACCAAAGTCATTCGGGGGCAAGAGGAGTGACAAAGATCTGGAGAATTTCTTGTGGGATATTGAGCAATATTTTCGAGCAACCCACATTCCAGATAATGACAAGGTAACTATTACCAGTATATATTTGTCTAGTAATACTAAATTATGGTGGCGGACTCGGGTGAAGGACGAGTTACGCCCCAAAAATACTGTATTTGCAGAGCTGAGAAAAGAACTGAAGGAGCAGTTTCTTCCAGCAAATTCTGGCTGGGTGGCTCAGGAGTCCTTGAGGAGACTCAAGCATATAGGTACAGTGCGTGAATATGTGAAAGAGTTCACATCTTTGATGCTGGATATCAAAATATGTCCGAGGGAGACAAATTGTTTAATTTCATGGCAGGCTTGCAATCATGGGCACAAATCGAGTTAAGGAGGAGCGGTGTGATCGACCTCTCTTCTGCTATAGTTGTAGCAGACAGCCCGGTGGACTTGCAGATTGAAAAGTCCGACTCTACTATCGCCAGTAAATTGAAGAAGAAGGGTAAGTTCGGTGACAATCCCAAGAGGTATGGTGTTGCTGAGGAAGAGAAAGACAAAGGTAAGTCAGAGGTGACGTTCATCCAGTAGAGGCCAAAGCTGGATAGTGGTTGCTTCATTTGCAAGGGTCCACACAGGGCGAGGGACTGTCCTAAGAAGAAGAAGGTGAATGTTATGGTTGCTGAAGAAGCCAATGGAAGAGATTCAGACTCGGATGAGGGTAATGTTCGGGTCAATCCTCTTGTCATGCAGTCATGATAGGTGCAGGTAGGTGCGTGGCTTCGGGGGAAGGCTATGCCTAGATGTTCACTGAGTGTATTGTCAAGGTTGGTAATGGTGAATTCCCTCTTTATTTGTTTTTCTGATTTGGGTTGCTGGTTGTGAGGACATAATCCAAAGGTGTTCAGAATTCATGTCATGAATCGAAATGGAGGTTGGGGTTTATGTCATTATTTAAGTGTAGCAGTGGAGTTGTTGCAGTGTTAATATTTAACATTCGGGTTGGTCGGGACCAACATACTAAGTTGCAGGCAGAGACTGTGTGACACTTTGTGATTGCTTCAACAAGGACGTTGAAATTCTTAAGTGGGGGAGGTTTGTTACGGGGTTGAGACCTTGACAAGCCCTCTGACAGCCATGGGATGCTGTCAACGTGCACTGGGGGTGCCCAGTGGCATTTTCGTAAATATGGCGAAAAAGTGAAACTTGGAGTTTTGTCTCGAGATTTTTATGGGGGTACTTTGAGTCTATAGAAGATGGTTGGATGCCGTGCACTCTGAGACATTTATATGTGGGTGCAGATTAGTGGGCTTGGCACGTGCTAAGTTCACAAGGTTGGCTTAGATGTTGCTTAAAACATGGACCACACAAGTCATGGAAGTGTGGCATAGTTAAGTCAGGGACATGGGCATAAGGCAGTGGGCGTAGGATGCCATTGTGTGGACACTTCCTAAGCAAATCATTCAATCTTTCCAAGCCTCATGTAAAAGTTCTCCCTCCCCATGAGAAAATTCTCTGATGGCGGTTCTCATTGAATTGGTCAAACTCAAGGGGCAATTTTTTTTTTTTTTTTTTTTTCTAAATTCATTTTGCATTTGTATCCAAGAAGTTGTTGAATTTGCCCCCAAATTGTTGAACCAATGTTTTGCCTTATTTTTAAGAGTGAAAGGGAAGAGAAGTAGTTTAAAAACTTCTTCTAGGACATTCATGTACTTCACTATGGAGCATATTTTCATCAAGATGTTTATATGGTTCCTCATCATCTAAGCCATAGAAAAGTGGACATATTTGAATAGTTTCGGGCTTAATTCAGCGTGCAAGGTTGGCTCAGGGGACTCAGACATGGCTTATGGTTACAGAAGATGGCTAAGTGGGCTCGGATGGTTGGGGGAAGTTACACTTCCCACTAAATGGGCTTAGTTGGTTGGGGGAAGTTACACTTCCCACTAAGTGGGCTTAGTTGGTTGGATGAAGTTATTAACACTTCCCACTAGTGTGCATATATTATGGGTAGTGGAGGTGTGTTGAGTAAGTTCCCAACTTCCCACTCATATGCATATATTATGGGGAGTGGGGGTGTGTTGAGTAACTTCCCATACATGTGGCACAGATCTCAGGGGACAACACACAGGTGGTTAGAGTCGGTTTTCTTCCACTATGCTGATATATAGAAGGTGGCAGATAATGTGTAACTTCCTGTGGACAAGTGGCATGAGCAGAGCGTGCCAACAAGCTAGTAGTTGGGCTTGTCAACTACATATGTAGTGTTGACACACTTAGTGGGTGCCAACATGACCCTAGGTGGATGGCGGTGTCATCCACCACTTTAGTGGATAGTTGTGGGTGGATGGGGGTGTCATCCATTACTTTAGTAGGCAGTTGTGGGCGGTTTTGAGAGTTTACCTATATATTGCTAATGTGGGTTCTGTAGAGAGGGAGATTGAGTGTGAGACACAGAGTTGTGTTGTGAGAGACTCTTGTATGCTTCTGCAGGTTGAGGCCTTTCCTTGTACTGTTTTGTGAATAATAGTAATAAGTTGGAAGCCTTGTGCTTTTGCAACTGTACTTATGTGTGAGGGTGTTTTACTTGCTGTGTGTTTTAGGCAGCAAATGTGAGTTGACTGAGCTAAGTTATAAATTCATAGAAAATTTGTTCATATTTCTAGCTTAGTGCCATTACAGGGCATTAGATTCATGTTCAGAATTTACTCCTGCGGCAATAAGATACCACGATACCCGGCTTTGGTGAATGAAAAAGATAATTGCAGTTCACCTTTTCATGAATACATTAGTTTAAAATTATTATTTTTCGAAAGGTATATTTTATAAAATTTTAATGACGTGAATTAATGAATCTCCTAAGTTGAATTAAAGACAATAATCCGTAGTTGCAAACAGGGATGGATGAAAAGACGAAAGCACCCTTGATCTTCCAACAACAAAAGGGTATAAAAGGTATATGATGATATGTCTATCCGCTGAATTGGAATACGCCCATCTCCAGAACCTTCTATAAACCCCTCCCGAGAACCCCCTACTAAAACCCTAGAAACCTCCTCCACCACCAACACTTCTCTATCTATCCGTGTTGTGAGTCTGTGACCCCCTAAAAGATCTCTGCTTTCGCTGGTTCTCGCCATCATGCATAAGCTCTCGAGGCGTTACGTCTCCGCTATAGTGCGCAACGGCGATGCACGGTACAGAAATGCCGTGGCTACATTTTCTTCACACAATCGCTTAAACGAATCGGTACATACTCTTAAAACCCTAATTCCCTACTTTTTTTTTTTCGTTTGTAATCATAGTTTATATGATGTTGTAAAATGTGACAACCGAAGGATCATTCTTGTTATTCTATATTATCGATCTTCTGTTGGTTCATTTCTGCATTTGGATTTGTATGGACTGTCTAATTACAATTTTTTTTTTCGCTCTATGTGTTTATGTATGTGTGTATATGAATCGACATATTGAGATTGGTTCCGATTAGATTACATTCTTTATCATCTTTATAAATTGGTTTGTCATAATACGTTCTTCTTGTGGCTGATATATTGTTTATCATCTTTATACAAGTATATAATTATATTATGGTGGTTGGTTATTGCACTTTTTTCAATCACATCAGATTTTTTATTGCCATTTCTGACAACCATCCGTTAGTCTGGTTCATTGTTTGAATGCTTTTATGGTTTTTATGTTTGAGTGATTTTACCTTTTAGTTATTCATCAGTTGTATTCAAATGTTAAAGTTTGTTAAAGTTTTTGTTTATGGGGAGTAGAGGATGAAGTTTCTTATTGGGAAAGGGAGCCGAAATATTAGGTTGCTTTAATATAATTATGGCTCATTTGTCCGTATGTTACTTTGTTTCAGGAATGACTACCTTTCTTTTTCTGTGTTTATTTATGAGCAGGCTGGTAAAAGTAAAAGTAAGACTGAAAACAGATGGTACTCGGGGTTGGGTGCTGGGAGATGCAACGTGACTGTAGCTACAAAGCCATATAACATGAGAAATGGGCTATTCCTTGGCAACCGATATGAGTCAACTGCTGCAGCATCTGATACATCAGATCCGCCAGCTGAGAAGTTTGAGTATCAAGCAGAGGTACATCATTTGGGCAATAAAGCCTAATTTAGTTTCATTTTAAGTGTGATGGAGTTTCATATTTTATTCTGCTTGGTGGCAGGTTAGTCGTCTTATGGACCTCATTGTTAACAGCTTATACAGCAACAAAGAGGTGTTTCTTAGGGAGCTTATCAGGCATGTTTTGATTTACTACCTGATTTTATGTACATCAGTACATGTCATTTTACTAGATGTTATAGATGTGCAGGATTGGTGCCTTATGCAATATCCTTTTGAAAATTTTATTTTTTATTGATTGTCAGAGACATTGTACTTGCTATGAATTTGGTGCCTTACACAATATGCTTTTGGAAATTTTATTTTCTTATTGATTGTCAGAGACATTTTTCTTGCTATGAATTTATGAACTGATGATTTTTCAGGACGAATATATGAATTTGGTAAAACACGTATTAGTCACTTGTCAGATTGAAAGATAAAGAAGTGCAATGCATCTTACTCAGAAAATAATTTTTTTTTCTTCTCTCTCTTTTAAAAAAAGTAAGTGCAACTAAAATGAGTAGAAGGGGTTTTCTTGTTATGATGAATGTCTAGGTGTTCAATGTTCTGCAACAATGTAATCTTCTTTGGCACTTGCTGACATGCCTCATGATTGTGGTGTGTTGTTAAAGGCCAAACGTTGCTGTAACTTATAATATGCTCTTTTTTTTTGTTTGTAGAATTGTCAAAAAAGTGTTGTATCTGGAAGATCAAATGGTGTTTGATAACGGAGTGTGTAAAACACTTCTCCTTAATATTCTTTATAATGGAGTGTGTAAAACACTTCTTATTAATATTCTTTCTTCCATAAATAGAATCTTTCTATGTATTTTTGCCTTTACTTGCAAAAAACTCCGGTTTTTAGCTTTGGCTATATGCCCTACTGAGCCAAATTCTCTATGACTAAAAAACGCATTTTACGAACACATGTAAAAGACTTGTAAACACACACACACACACACACACATCTAAAAGAGAATTTTCAATTATTAAAAGCGCTTTTAGTCTCTTCAACAAACGCCAAACGGGCACTAAGAGTATAACTCAAGTTTGGCACTTGGTCTAGTTTTCTAAACTATAACCTGGGGAAAAGGACTCTTTGGTTGATTTGATAATGGTTGTAGTTAGTATCCACTGAATGTGTCCTGTTCTAAATGCTTAGGAAATGTGTCGTTCGAGAATTAGAGTAATGTACTTGTATCTTTCACGTACAGGCTTTACCTCATACTTTCGTAGTTTGTTTGATCTTAAGCGTGATTGGTGTTAGTTTATTTGAAATATTGTTGTGTCCCTGGGCCATCATCTTATGGGCATCCACCTGTTGGACACAAATGGGCACCTGGACAGCTGGGTCCTTGGTCTTTCATACCATGTGCAAATGCACTTTTAGTTAGTTGGAACTCCAAGTGCCTACATTCCAATTTTAGGTTTATGATGGTTTAATTTTGTGCTTTATTTGTTTCTGTCATTAGAGATATGTTATTATATGCTTGTGTTTAATAGATTGTGCACTTGTATTGTTATGAAGTGTTGAACTTGGTTGCACTAAAACCAGGAACTAGGAACAAGAGACAGAAACATGAAACAAAAATTTGAAGTTTCTTGCATACTTTTAGTAGAATTAGATGGGTTCTGATTTTGAACTGAAAAATATGATTTCGAATCCACAGCAATGCAAGTGATGCCTTGGACAAGCTGCGATTTCTTAGTGTTACAGAGCCTGAGCTTTTGAAGGATTCAGTTGATCTTGATATCCGTATCCAAACTGATAAAGATAATGGGGTTATTACTATCATGTAAGTTTTATCAGATGTAAGAACTTGTTTTGAGGTTTTTGCTTTTATTTATTTTCATTTTTTATAGCAGTATTTTGATTTTATCTCATTTATACAGGGATTCTGGCATTGGTATGACACGTCATGAACTTGTTGACTGTCTTGGAACTATTGCACAAAGTGGAACTGCGAAGTTCTTAAAAACATTGAAGGTGTACCGTCAAAGTCATTCTCATTTCTTTAAATAAATTGATATTTATATTGTGCAATATAATTTGTATTCAGTAGAGTTACATCATATATATTATTTAACAGGATAGCAAGGATGCTGGTGCTGACAGCAATTTAATTGGTCAATTTGGTGTGGGCTTTTATTCAGCTTTCCTAGTTTCTGATCGGGTATGTCATGGACATATTCACGAACTGTATTTTGTTCACATTCTCTGCTTATGAATATGAATTTTTCTGGTAGTTTCTGTTAGTCTCATATATCTTGCTTTTGAAGGTGGTTGTTTCGACAAAGAGCCCGAAGTCTGATAGGCAATACGTTTGGGAAGGAGAGGTGAACTCAAGTTCATATACGATCCGGGAGGAGACTGATCCTGAGAAGCTTATTCCGAGAGGGACCCGCCTCACATTATATCTTAAGGTCTGCTACATGAACTGTTAGTTAAGAGTTATTTGTGGTCCTTTTTACCAGAAATCTAGCTAACCCTGAATGTTTGATTCTTATATTTTCTGTATGCGCAGCGTGATGACAAAGGTTTTGCACATCCGGAAAGAGTTGAAAAGCTTGTGAAGAACTATTCGCAGTTTGTTTCATTCCCAATTTACACCTGGCAGGAAAAGGGATATACCAAAGAGGTCACATGTCCAATGTCTTCTCATTCTTTGGGTCTCTACGTTGTCTTTTTGACTGATTCTGTGGTCCACTGCAAATCTTATTTGCATATGTGTTTATCTGTTTCATCTTTGTTTTCCTCTTGGCTAACTTTCAACTATATTACAGGTTGAGGTTGACGAGGATCCATCTGAGGCCAAGAAGGATGAACAAGATGAGAACACTCAGGTGGTCCTCTACTTATTTTCTGAATTTCTGTTCTATTGAGAGTATATTACTCATTTTTCTTTTCAAATGAAACCAACCTATATCAAATTTGGGGATTTTGTTATGTTTCTGCTTTTACAGAAGAAGAAGAAAACTAAGAAAGTTGTTGAGAAATACTGGGAGTGGGAACTCACTAATGAGACCCAGCCAATATGGGTGAGCCTTAGTCTTAGAGTGCTACTTGTAGTCACTTACAGTGCTGTTAAATTATATATTCTCCTCAAGATTAATATCCTTTTGCTTTGCAGCTACGGAACCCTAAGGAAGTCACCACAGAAGAATATAATGAGTTCTACAAGAAGACTTTCAACGAGTACTTGGATCCTTTAGCATCTTCACACTTTACAACAGAGGTGATAATGATAATTACACAACCACATAATAGAGATAAATAGATAAATGCTTACCCTCAGAAGTTTGTTTTAGTGGTATCTCAATTACAACCAAAGGGGCACATTTGTCTTGTCAAAGAAAAATAAAAAGTAAAAACATTAGATAGATTAATTTTAATTGATATTGATTTCCTCATATGAAGTACAACAGGTCAGTGAAATATCACAGAATATCTAGTTCTAGAGTTGGATGTTTAAAAACTAAGCGAGAAAAAGATTCAATTCCCCCTGAGATCTTCAATATTGGCATGATATCTATACCTTTATTACAATTATTATTTTTTTGTCTCCCTTTCCTTGGCGGAAAAGAATCTGATATATATTTTAAAAGTATTGTAGGGTGAGGTGGAGTTCAGGTCTATACTCTATGTTCCATCCCTGGCTCCCATGGGAAGGGATGAATTAGTCAATCCCAAGACAAAGAATATAAGGCTCTATGCTAAGCGGGTGTTCATTTCAGATGATTTTGATGGAGAATTGGTAAGAACTATGGCAAAGTGTTTTGCAGGGGATGATTAATTGGGTTTCAAGTGTAACTTATCTGGCACTGACTTTCCTTTTTCTGTTTTTTTTGGTTGGAAAAGTTCCCAAGATATCTGAGCTTCGTCAAGGGTGTTGTTGACTCAAATGACCTTCCCCTCAATGTGTCCCGTGAAATTCTCCAGGAAAGCCGTATTGTAAGTATAATTGACACTTGCTGCATGTGAGCATTTGGTGGTTAGGAATTTATTTTTATATAGTTGACTTTAAATTGCTAAATTGTATTTTCTTTGATTTCCATAAAGGTACGGATTATGAGGAAGCGTTTGGTTCGAAAGGCCTTTGACATGATTCTGGGCATATCCATGAGTGACAACAAAGATGTACGTCTTTGTTTCAAACTTTAGTTGCTGTTTGCATTTTCCAAAGATGGTTTTCATGATATCATTTTGTCATAGTCTCTTTCTGTTATTATTTACCATTATTCTAGTGCCAATATATGCCAAAATAACCATAACTCGTGATAAGTTTCACCTTTTAAATTTTGCTTTTTTATCGTCCTATTCTTACCCATCGTGTAAAATATAGGATTATGAGAAGTTCTGGGAGAATTTTGGCAAATTTTTAAAATTAGGCTGCATTGAAGATCGTGAAAACCACAAGCGTCTTGCTCCACTGCTCCGATTTTTCTCCTCACAGAGCGAGGATGAGATGATCAGCTTGGATGAATATGTTCAGCATATGAAACCTGAGCAGAAGGATATTTATTACATTGCTGCTGACAATGTGACTAGCGCAAAGAACACACCTTTTCTGGAAAAACTTCTTGAAAAGGAACTTGAAGTATGTGTCTGTCTCAGCTGAGATTGAGATGATATTGTTTGTTGTATCATTATTATATGTGTGTTTGAATATAAAATCTTTTCCCCTGCAGGTACTGTTCTTAGTTGATTCTATTGATGAGGTTGCCATCCAGAGCCTGAAATCATACCAAGAGAAGAATTTTGTTGATATTAGCAAGGAGGACCTGGATCTAGGTTAGTTTATTGAGACCTTTCTGATTTGGGATGTTGTGAATTGTGATTCCTTGAAAGTAGTAGATAAATTATTTTATTGCTGTTGGTAAGGACTACTTATTCTGAATTTCATGATTGCATGATGCAAATATGATGAATTTGATAACATGGGGAACCTTTTTATGGTCATTAATATTAATTGGTCTCTCATTGTCTTGTTGTCAACTGCTATAACTTAGCTGAACACGTTTTGTGGTCTAGGTGGCCTCATATTGATAGAAATATTGGAATTTTCTTCCCTATATTCCACCTTATTATTCAGTATTTCTTGCAGGTGATAAGAACGAAGAGAAGGAAAAAGAAATGAAGCAAGAGTTTGGCCAAGCTTGTGATTGGATTAAGAAGCGGTTGGGTGACAAAGTTGCCAGCGTTCAAATCTCAAATCGTCTGAGCACATCACCTTGTGTTCTTGCATCTGGGAGGTTTGGTTGGTCTGCCAATATGGAGAGGTGAAGTGCCTTACTGTTGCTTTGCACGTGAAACAATTTTTAGGAATTCTTTTGACATTTTTAACAGAAATTTGAATTTCTTGAAGGCTGATGAAGGCACAAACTGTTGGTGATACCTCTAGTATGGACTACATGAGAAGCAGGAGGGTGTTTGAGATCAATCCTGAACACCCTGTCATTAGAACTTTGAATGTACGTTGATTTTTGGTGAATAATGACTAGACCTAATACCCTTCCTCATTTTTTACAATTCTAGTAGAAGCTAAATGGATTTCAATCCTTTTTTTTTTTTATTGGTAAATGATGCAGGACGCATGCAAGAGTAGCCCAAATGATGAAGAAGCCTTGAGAGTTATTGATCTTTTGTATGACACGGCTTTAATTTCCAGTGGTTTCACTGTGAGTAGTTTGTCTTACATCTTTGTATTCATTTGGTTTGAGACACTTGTGTGGTGGATTTTGTTTTGCAAAGGAAATGGACCACCCCCGGAGTATCTTGTTACGTGAATTATGTATTGAGGATGACTGATTTTCCCAAGGAAGCATATGGGTGTCCAAATACTCCTTGATTCAAGGGGACAATTTCCTACTCTGAAAAAGCTTTATTGCTTAATGGTTAACATAGGAAGTAATTTTTTATGCCGATGTGCATCCCTGGGAATATCAGTACCTGCATGTTGAGTCTTCTCACAATTGTGGTAAATATAGTTTGCTGGGAGTTTGAATTTTTAAAGCATTCCACCTTGTCCACATGACAATTTGAATATATGCTTGTTTCTAGAAATGGTTTCCGTAGGCAATGCCTAAACTGCTGCAAGCAATAGCATTGTCATGATTTCCTAAGTTCCATTCCCAGATTTGGGTGCTCATTGAAGATAAGAGTATTGATGCGTTTGTAGTTATTCTATATAGTTATCTTGATCTTTTAATCAATGCAGCCTGAGAGTCCAGCACAGCTTGGTAGGAAGATTTATGAGATGATGGGTATGGCTCTTTCCGGCAAGTGGGCCGAACCTACTGTCGACATTCAACAGCAAGCAACACAAGTGCACAGCCAAGAAACACTAGAAGCTGAGGTGGTGGAGTCAGCTGAATCCGGTGGTCAGAAATGAGAAGCCATTTTTAAAGTTTTCATGTTTTTGTATAAATCTAGTACAGTCAACTAGTATTCCATGCGTGCATAACCCGGAAATTGGAGGGTACATTTAAGAAGATCTAAACTGTATGGGAATTCATGTTCTATTTTGCGGTTATATGATAATATCTATTTTATTATCTAAATTTGTATGCCCTTGTGAATAAAAATGGATGAATAGCTCCTGGTATGATTTGGTTCTTGTTTGGTGTTGACTGTTGAGGTATTTAATAATAACACTTTTTTCAGCCAGTGTTTGAAATTGTTCATCTAGAGGCTCTCTCTCCATGAAAAAGCTTTTCCATATTCAATTATAAATGTCATGGAATACACATTAATGTTCTTAGACCAATACTTTATTCTTCAATCAACATAGGCTTGCTCCTTTTTGTTACCGAGTCTCAAAACTTTTTACTGGTTTGTAACTAGGGGATTCGATTGGAGCCCCTTATCCCGGTCCTACCGTCAAAATTTCTACCAATCCGCTCCAGTGAAGAAATTGTTTTCCAGACATTGTTTGCGTAATTTGATTTGGCATGTTCTGCTTAAAATGTTTTTGTTTGGATAATGGTTCTGGAAACCAACTACAGAAGTTTTCCCCTGTGCTTGTTGGAAGTAGCTTTGATGAATAATTTTCTGAATCATCATACTTGGATGTTTGTTATTGCATTTGTGAATTCTATCATCGGGAAAATTCGAGGACTCTTGTTCTCCTGTATTGAGAATGGTACAGTGTATCATAGCTATGTCCTCTTTGATTGATTGAGACTGTTTCCAAGGCTGGTAGCGCAAACACACACACATATATATTTTTTCTTTTGTCCTGGTGGTGTCGGGCACATGAACCATGCACCAGGCAATTACCAGAAAACTTCTCGGGAATGGTTTGAAGCGGATTGGAACTCCAACTTTCCAAACGCAATGTTATTATACTATTTTATCATCTTTTATCTTCTTCTCTTGCCTCTTTAGACAACCAAATTGTGGAAAAGGGAGATTTGTTTTATTTTCTTTCTGATAATCAAACAATGTATAATTGTGCTTTTCTAATCATTTGACTTCTCTATTTGTCATCTGACAATTTCATTTCTAAGCTGATGCTCTATATCCTTTCCTTCTACCAAATTCCTTTATAGTAAATTTTGCCTTATATTTGAAAAATGGGAATCTAATTCTGATATAAATATGGATTATACATGAAGTTCTAAACTGTTGCAATTCTTAAGTTTGTGTGCATAGACAACTTCCAATTTTCTCCCATATTTGTTGAGATGATTTTTTATATTGCGTGCTTTGTTATGACTGTATCCAAGCCCCATATATATATATATATATATATATATATATATTTTTTTTTTTTTTCATATCAGACTGTAGTATTGCTCTTCTTTGTCCTAGATCTAAGTTTCATGGAGTATTGTTTTGTTGTTGGAATTGTCTGTTGTTTTCAGAGTTAGACAATGCATTTAGAATTGGATTTAGATATTAGATAACAAGTCCAGGTGGAAGATGGCTAATATAAACTAGGTTCTTTGTTTTGAGTTCTGAATTTAGGTTTATCTGCTGCATCTGAATATAAATTAGTCCTTTATTTTATTTTATTTTTTCTTCCTCTTATTATTCTCATTTATACTGCGATGAAGAGCTTAAGATGGAATTACCAATGAATCCAGAATTTATGGAAGATGAAAGGTTGGTAGCCCTACAAGAGGCATGCAACCGAATTGCTGAACTGGTGCATGAGTCAGTGATGAAAATTGACATTGTGGCTGATGAGAAGATGAGGGTGTTCAAGCACGCAAGTGTGGCTCTTCAAGCTTACAACTGTGAGCGAGATTACAAGGCCAGGGAAGGTGCAGAAGTTAAGCTGGAGCGATGACAGGTGAAGGAACAGATAGATGAATTGGAGAGCATCAAGGGGCTTAAACAGGCTGGGGCCTATGTGTTCCAGCTTAATTACCAGAGCAAGATGGGAGGCTGCGAAGCTGTAGAGGATTGCTCTTGCTAAGTCAGAGAAATCAGAGGAAGAATATGCTGGCAGATACCTGAAACTCCGGTTGATTGGGACTGAGGCTGAGAGCAGTGCTTTTTTTTGAGAAAATTTAGCTCCAGGAGAGCAGGTATGCATCACAAAGTAATGACACTGATGTCCCTTCTCAGGTGATGTTCTTGAATAAAATCCAGGAGCTTCTCAAAAACAAGTACAGGGTATCCCCCAATTGCAGATGACCACCAAAAAAACATATTTCAAATCTCCGAGTATGCTTCTTGGTTTAGGTTGTGTATTGATTCCTGTTATGATCACTAAGATCACTCTGTTGCAGAGCAAAGCATGAACAAAATGCTATGTTATCCATGTCAGATTACCTTGAACAATTAAATTATTTGCTTGCCAACCATACATGAAAAAATAAAAATTGATAAAAGAGATTTGGAATAACAAGCTGATGCTTGTCTATAGCATATATGCATAGATTTGCAGTTTAGTCATTCTTTGTAGTACATGAGAATCCTCTTGCTTGCCATGTATGCAGTATTAATATGCATTCGCATAATGGCGACATTATGCGTATTTTAGATGCATATCAGCCATGTACATTGGTTGTCTCTAATGGCGATTTTTCATTTATTTCTTTATTTGATAATTTATTTGTTTATTCCCATGGGAGGGGGAGGTGATGTTTCATTTATACGAAAGGAAAAAAAAAATTGATGAAAAGCAACTGCATGTTGCTTATTTATTTCATTATTCTGTTATACTGTTTGATCAGGACTTCTCATAACTGAACATGATTCAAACTTCTGAATCTTATTAACAGTGGTAGCTGTGATTGATTCAGACAGCGGAATATCAAGGCTCGGTGGATGGGGGGCCCCTCTTCGGATTGATGGACAGTGAAGACTTTGTTTTGTTAAGTTTGTTACGGGAATCCATCAACTCTGGCATGCGAAAATTGCTGGATGGAGTTGCAACAGCAGAGGCAGTGTGGTTGTCAAATTCCAAAGTGGTGCTGATCCCATGGCACCTTATTATAGAGCTTCTGCAAACATTTGGAATGACAATTCTTGCATTGTTCAGAAATATGCCAAATCTTCCATTGTTGATTACACTGAGCATCTTGTTTGGGAGGCCTGAAGGCACTAGCGTTCCCGTAGGAAAATGTAGCAGATTGTTGAGCAGTAGAGCTGTTGGGATAGAGTGACTGAGGATGAAATCTTGGAGATGATCAGCGGTGAGTGAAACTTCAGATAGTTGCTCATCATTTGGCATCAAGAAAGTTATATATCTGGTTGGTAGAGAGTTGGGGGTGTCAGTTAGCAGCATCTTGAGGAGTATGACAAATCCGTGGTATGAGCTTCCTCTCATGCTAGACATGGCCATCTGTAGGTCTGTTTGGTTGATTTGATTTATGGATTGAGATTCTCCAACTGCAAAGAGTGTGAGAAGGATGAAAATGCAGAGATCCATTTGGAATGAAATGGGGTTTACCCAAGGCTGCTCCTGTAGTCGGGATGAATATGAACAGACACTTGGCATGAAATTTATAGGTTAGTACTTTGTAACAATTCATGCATTTTGTGTTCTCCTGTAAGTGAAAAAATTGCAGGGAGTGTTTGGTTACCTGCATTTGGTTTGGAGGTAAGTTGGAGGGGTTTTTCATGCACACTAGGGATCGGTAAGTTTCTTATTCTTTGACAACTTTGTGATAATTTTAGCATGCTTGGAATTTTATGATTAGAAATTGGTTACCATCGTACCTTGCAAAATGAATGGGGGGTAACATTCATATATATATATATCTCTGATTTACACTGTAATTTGTGATTTAATTCAATTTACTACGTTTCTGAAAATGGAAAATAATTGAATTTTAATATTGAGTAAACTCATTGGTGCTTGTGTTTGTTTGTTTTCCAAAAGGTATAGAGATTCTTTTCTTGTTCTTTATATAGTCTTGATATTTATATAGTCTTGATAAAATTCATGATTGTTTCATTCTTTTTGAAACTATATAAATTGGATGGAATATCTTGCTACATGCTTGTCAGTTTGGATGTTAGTTGGAGGAGTAGTTTATGCATGAAAAAAATGGTTCCCTGTTTAATTCAGTATGACTTACTTTTCTCCTTTTTTGTTAACCATTCTGTACGGTACAAGTCTTCAGGATGAAAGAGCAAAGCTACGTGTGTGCGTGTGTGTGTGTGTGTTTGTGTATCTAGACATATCTATATGTATAATTGTATCTGCTTGTCTATATGTATAATTGTATATTTTGATATTTTTTTATAGCTCTAAATTTCTTTGTGAATCACTAACAACCTTTCCGATGATTCAAGCTTTCATAATTAAATTTTAATTTCCATCTTTCTGCATTACGTGTACAGGTACTTTTTTCATCAAACAAAATTTTCTGATGTGCCTTAGTTGATCCATTGTGCTTATCTTCCGAGTCATTCAAAATCTGCAATATTTGTCATCGACTCATCCGCGCTTATATGTCTACTTTCTTCTCTCTTTATAATGAAATAGTACATAGTTGAGTAGTTGTTATATTAATCTGATGACAATACTAGAAGACATTATTGTCCGATAATACGTGGTACAAGTTCATTATGGTACAAATAGACTCCCCAGTATTCAAAATGTGTGTGTATTGGGATACCGAGTAGGTGTAGAAGATGTCACTATATATGGAATGTTTTCTTTGTATTAGTTTATTGTCAAAGACATTCCTTAATTTGGATTAACACTGTACATATGACAAACAAAACATAAGCATCAAATCCATTTGATATTTTGTTGAGCTTGTGCTTCATTCTTCATCAAAGAATATTAATGATCATACTCATCTCATACATTACTTCCACGCGATTATAATTCTTGCTTGGGGCGGAGCCAATTAAGGCCCAGAGGAGGCATGTGCCTTCCCTCACTCTGCTCCAACCTACTATACAAAGATACTTATTTTTGGTATATAGATATCCTTTTATGATAATTTTAAATAGTGCCCCCCTCAAAATTTCAAAATTTTCTAATTTTCTTTTAAAAAAAAGAAGAAGTTATATATATCCCTTCTTTAAGTATACAATATATTTTTTCTTTTTTAATTTTTTTTTCCTTTTTCAAAAAAAATCTTTTTTCACTTATGTATAATTATGTATTTTTCTATTTTTTTAACTTATTTTTTTTTATTAATGACATTTGTGATTGTATTTAATTAAATTATTATTAATTAATATTTTGATTCTTATATTTGTAACTATATTTTTTTATAGTATTTATTTAGCATATTATTTTACAACTATTTTTTTTTCTTATTTGTCTTTTTGATTTTAAAAAATTGTACTTCCTATTTGTTATATTTATTATTATTATTATTTCTTTTCAACAAGTGCATTGTGGCTCCGCTCCTGATTTTTGCATAGATTTTGTATGCTACTTTGTCCTTTTGGGCCCTAAATTTTGGAAGAGAGCGTCGGTATAGGATTTGGGAAATATTGTCATCGTAAATTTCAACATTTATAATGTATTTAGTTCGAATTGAAATAATGTTATAGAGAGACTCGAAGTTAATCACGTCACGCCAACTCATAGAAAAAAGAAAGTAACGGATAGAAATTGGTAGGTGAACAGCTAATAATTCATGCTTGTCTATAGTTTAATTGTGATTGTGGTGATATATTTGTTGGCATTTACCTACTACTATTGTTGCTTATTTTCTTCAACATGAATGGACCCGCATTCATTTATATCATACCTGTTGCCCACAAATGTGCATCAACTAAAAGAAGAAGAAAAAGCAGACTTGGGACATTGTTGGATAAACTAATTTAATTGACATATGCACATATAATTGTGATTCAAAATTAAGAAATGACATCTCTCATTCTTTGTTGTTCTGTTGTGAATTAACTTTACGAAAATTGACCAAGTTTAAAAAAAAAAATAGAAAAAAAAAAAATTAAGAGTGACATGATGATCTAATGCAATGTTTGGTGTGCATAAATGAAATTGAATGGAATATCTATTTCAACCATTCATTTGTCTGATATGCAATTTAAAGTAGGAGTGGTCATTTCATTGGAATGAAAATCTATTCCCGAGAATGAAAATCCATTCCATAATTAAATTTATGAAATGGCTATTCCATTCCCAAGTAATTTTTTTTAAAAAATTAATTTCCCAAAAAACCCTTATATTTCAAGTCCAAAAACCACCATTACTTTCCACCATAACCAACTCCGCTGTTCACCACCACCACTACCGCCATTGATTTTCACCATCGCCCACTACTAGGTCCACTACCACCGCCATCGCCATCGCCATCGCCTTCCACCGCCACCGCCACCGCCACCGCCTTTCACTATTGCTACCACCACCATTTGCCGCAACTGTTGCCGTCGCCTTTTACCGCCACCGCCATCGCCTTTCACCATCGTTACTGCCACCCTTTGCCGCAACCGTTACCGTTGCCGTCCCCTTTCACCACCACTACCGCAACCACCTTCTACCGCCACTACCTTCCACCACCACTACTGCGATTGCCTTTCACCACCTTCTACCACAACCGCCGTCACCGCCCTACACCACCTTTCACCACCACCATCGCTGCCACTGCCTTCCACCATCACCATCGCCATCGCCTTTCACCACATTCCATCATTACCACCACCACCACCACCACCACCACCTTTCGCCACCACCTTTCGCCACCGCCACCACTACCACTGCAGTCACAGCTTTTGCCACCACCACTGCCACCTCCACTACCTTCCATCGCCACCATAGTCAACTCCATTGACTTCTACCACCGCCACCTACATCACTATCTCCTTTCACCACAACCACCACACTACTGCCATCGCATTCCACCAACACCATGTCGCCTTCCACCATTACCGTTGTCGCCACTTTCTACCATTGCCACCACCATCGCCTTCCAACACCACCACCTACACCACTATCGATTTCCACCATTCATCACCGCCACTCCCACCATTTATTTTTAAAAAATTATTAGAGAATGTCATTTTGTTAATTTTATTTATTTGTTACTAGAGAGATATTTTGGAGAATTTAATTAGAAATTTATTCTATTCTAAATTTTAAATTGGTCCAACCAAACACTAGAATGATATGATTATTATCATTCTATTCCTACACATTTCATATTTATAACCAAACAATAGAATGAGAATGACCATTCCATTTTTACTTGTATTCTATTCCAACACACCAAATGCAACAAATGTTATAAAAATGAAAAGAAAAAACTTAAAATTGTTGGAGTTAGCAACAAAAAAAAAAAATAATAATAATAATAATAATTTGTTAAGTAGAGGAAAATTGACCAATTCAAAATTAATTTATACTGATGTAATTCCACGATTTTAAATTGAGATTACCAATAAATTATTGCCTCATGTGCCTACTATTGACAAAATCAGGAAGTGTTATGATAATTTCAAATCTATTCTTACATCATGAGAAGATATGAGGTGACTTGGATATACAATGTCATTTCATATGTCTACTCCAATAAAAATTGCACTATAAAATAAAATTAGTTCCATCTACTTATAAATGGGTTTTTCCTCCTTATAAAAGTAAAATAATTTTTAAGTTTAAAGGTAATTTCTTAAGTCTTCACTTCTTCATATTTGATAAACATAATCAATTTACGTCAAATAATTCATTTTGACAATTTAATTTAGTATCGTAATTCTAAAAAAATTCTTCAATAAATTCATAATAGTACAATTTTTATTGAGTGTGTATGGATCAATCAATATCTACTCATAAGGGCCAATTCAATTTTTATTTTATTTTTTGTAATTCTTATTAAAATTTTATGTAACCATTTTTAGTAAGATTTTGATTCTTCAATCAAAGTCTAATGTTCTTACATTAGTGAATAGGACCCACTGATGACTTCAACGTGTCACTTCCCAATGCATCCACGTCATTTATACCTAGAAAACAAAAACAGAGCAAAGCAAACATGATTGTCAGACTTTCTCCAGCTTATAGTGGTCCCCACTGGCTTATAATTATTCTCGAGGAACTCCGGCGACGAATAAATCGGAGCACCGACTTTGCTTTTCGGCGTCCAGAATGATACTATTCGAATATAAATTAAACCAAAAACATAATCTAAGCCATTCATGTCAAATGTGTATCTATTGATTATATATTCTTTGGTGTTCTTTAACTAGTTTGATTAACCTTTGGTTTAAATAACATTTTTCTGTTTTAATTTATTTATTTTTGTTTAAGGAATAAATTTTACAGAGAATTTTTTTAATTGTAGGAAAGTTATGACATAATGCTCAATGTTAGTAGTTATGGGTGTAACCAAGGGTGCACAAAAAATCGAATCAAAAAATAAAATCAGAGTGAACTTGATCAGTTTAATTCGACTTTTTTTTGGGTTGATTGATTTTAAAATATAAAATCATTACTATATGACGTTTAGATTCTAGTTTAGAGTCCTGTCAGATTGAACCAAACCAAATCGTTAATTATATATATATTTTTATTATATGTATATATATATATATATATATATGTTACATATAATAAAAATATAAAAACCCGAATCACTTTCTCATTGTCTTCGTCCGACGTCACCTTACTTTCCAACATCTACATCAATTTAGAGATATTAATCTATTAAGATTCTTTTGCTGTGGCAAAATTTTAATTTATAGTAGAGTGATATATATATATATATATATATTTAAATTATTGCATTTTGATTTTTCTTTTTCTTTACATATATTTTTTCTTTCGGTCAATATTTCAAGGCTAAAACTGTGGAACAAAAGGTTTGGTTCGGTTCCAGTAGTCCTACGGTTTGATTTGGTTTCAATATTTGTGAAACTGTTAGGACCGATTTGGTTTCAAAATACTCTCAAATTGGTTCAATTCGAACCGTGTGTACCTTAAGTGTAACATAAGCTTTATGAAAATTGATTTAAGTTAAAAGTTACAAGCGGAAGGCCAAACAAAAGCTAAATTGAAGCATAAGAAATTATAGGTTTGTTTCATATTCAAACCAAAATATGAGCATAGAAAAGGTAGATTGAAAATTATAGATTAAAAAAGCTAATCTCAAATATTTGAGATTAAGACAGAAGGATTTAGCAAGTGGCAAGGGGGTACAAAATGAAGTCACTTTGCATGATTGATAAGTATATCGTAATAAATCACTACTTTTGTTTCATTCTAAGGTGGATAATATATTCTAATGAATTTGAATTTTGGTTGAACATTAGAATGAAATTAAAGGTAAACATCATGAACAATGATGGTTTATTTTGCACATTTTTACCCTTTTAAATCTTCAGATCTTCATTACTTGTCCACAATAAAGTTAACAAATATATATATATAAAATCAATGGATGGATCCACCATAACAAATCTTCTTTGGGGGAATAATAGAAAGTGGTGGTGGGTGGGTCTGACTTTCTAAGTGGTAGCATGAAGTTGAAATTATTAAGGCCAAGTGGTGTTGCCCCAATATGGCCCATACAGTGAGCCACTTGGTTACATGTCCTCCTACTCAGTTCCTGCGGCTAAGAAAGTAACATGGGTTCCAATGGTCATGATCTAATGGCTTCAGAAGGTTCATGGGCCCACATTCTCAACAATAAATAAAAATTACAATTTTTTTTTTTTTTTTTTTTTTTCACGAGTCATTAATTCCGTAAAATGTTCAAGCTTGAAATAATTTAGATAAGATATGTCTCGAACAAATTTTGAGGTATATGTTGTTATGGTCGGTTGCCGCTTACTTAATAAAAGAATATACATCAACATCAAAAACTCTAAAAACTCTAATTATTTCATGTTAGAGAGCTCTTCTTCATCGTCTACGTTTCTGAGTTGCGAAATCAATTTCTTGTTTGTTGTAATTACAGTTCCCATGATCATAGTTATTGTCCACAATATTAGATGCCTCGGGACACCCCTTCTACTTTTATAGAAGAAAAAGAACCATGTATGTTTATATTCAATACAGATTTTTATGATGTGGTTGTATATATAGGAAAAACGATATATATATATATATATATATATATATATATATATATATATATATATATATATATATATATATAATCACCATGATATAGCCTGTGTGGAGGGAAAAAAACTTCCTCCAATAAAAAGCGCACACGTCATCACTACACATATCTACATTCCAAGGACATATAAGGCCTATCATGCTCAAGCCCAAATTGAGGGTATTTTTAGCCCAAGACCATTGTTATTTGTCCTCCAACCTCCATCAAGGCCGAATCAAGAGGTCATCTGCCCAACTTGTTAACATTTAACATCCGATCCGTTACTCAAACCCAGCCGGATCAAAGTATGTTCAGCTCAATTATTCGAGAATGCACAAGTCCTACCAGTTGAAGGATTTACCGTAGAAGGAAAATTCTGAGATAGGAAGTTCTGTACAAGGCAAGTTCTATGTATGAAAAATTAGACAATGGAAAGAACTCTATTAGTAAAGAATGTTTATATAGAAAGAATTGGAGGGCAAGCAACGCGAGTCCTACCATAATTTTACAATCTTTTGTATATAAATAGAGGCTTAGACCTCCAATAAAGGGATCAAGCAATTCTACGCTTCGACATATATTGTTCTTGTTTATTTTTACTATTGATTGAGTGAGTTGTTTTATTTTTCTTAATCATTATTGGTTGAGCGAAATTCTGCACCTACACTTTGGCGCCGTCCGTGGGAATCGTATAAAAATATACTCCCACTTGTTCTTCAAATCAAATCCTTAGTCGTATCTGGAATGTCAAACGGAGAGTCAGCAATGAATCAACAGATAGAATTGATGCAAAAGATGCGAGAGGAGTTCTTGCACCAATTTGAGACACTCCGGCAAGCAAACGATACGAGTGTCGCCCAGATAGCTGCGCTTCAGCAGCAAACTCATACGTTGCACACGGCAATGGCCAGGCTAACGCCACAACCATCACCAGGCGATGCTGCAGCACCACCCCCCACCCAGAATTTACCTCCAGTTCACGAGCCTCCGGCCAACAGGACACCACCCAACGGGGCTCGACCTAATGAGGTTCAGCAACAGCAAGGGACAAGATCCGAGGCGGTTACTTCGGATAATCTCCCGCGTCGCACACAGGACGAACAAGCCGAGTCCAGCCATCGGCTTACGGTATGGTCCAATGGCGTTCCAGATGGCGCACACGTACAAGATGCCTTCGACGAAAAGAAGCTATTAAGAGTTCAGACACCAGCCGAGATGGCTAGATAGCACAAGAACTCCTTGGTCAAGACCCCCTTTACTGACAATGTGTACCTTGTGGAGAGACCAAGGAAGTTCATTATGCCATCCTTCACCCAGTTCGATGGGGCAGGAGACCCCTCTCGGCATCTCGATCATTATGCGCAA